GCATTGTTGCCTTGTACGTAAATGTTTATGGTTTTCTCAACTCCACATTGTTAGTAACGTCGTACATTAAAGACAACATGGGCTCCCCATGCCCAGCCACTTTTTCCAACCAGGAAACATTCAGATGAGGTAAATATAAAAATCACTTTAAATTATTCGAGTGCAAGATTTGGAGACAAAAAATCCACATAAATTAGAACAATCTAGTCAAGTAAAAATTAGTCCATCCTATCTTAGTAACCGAGCCGGCCATTTTTATAGGATACGTTCAAACTTTCTTCTCTTTGAATAAAAACGAATGAAACTTTACTTAAATCTTATTATGTATAAAATCTCTTGATTCTAATTACATGTATTCAGAATCGCAAATTAAATAGAGTGAATCTTGAAGTTTTTCTTGTTACTATAACAAAATTTACCAAAGTTGGAATAAGATTGGGAAAGGGGAAGGGAGGTAAATCCTATCAAGCCCCCTTACTCAGAGGTCAATAATTATAAGATTGATATCTATTAATTGTAATGGAGGGGAAGACCATGGGGGTAACATGCTGGTTGCCGAGAGAGACAACAAAGGCAAAAAAGAGAAAAAAAAAAAAAAAAAAAAAGGAAAAAAAAAAGGACATGAGTAATATGAAAACGATAATTTTGTTTACCTTAACAGGATAATGGCAGAGAAGAGGAAGTTTGCTGAGATCGCCAGTCTGTGCATAGAGAATCCCATTTAAAGGACAGCTTGAGACACTGCATATATATCATGTAATAGCCAAAAATATATAACAAATTGAAATAATATGAAGGTTAAAAAAAAAAGCATGAATAAATTCGTAGATAATTAACGTGTACAATTATATATGTATAATTCATACTCAGAATGAGAAGGTGAAATCATGGCGACCCAATCGTCTTTGGAAGGATTGAGGACACCTCTAACATTGACACTCAAGAACTCTTCATCTCCAAGGCCAGAAGAAGTTGAGTTAATACTAATTTGCAGATAAGGGCTCGGATGAGGACACTCAGCCAGAAATCTTCTATTCACAACCCTAAACTCAGATATTGCTGTGTAGTTAAGGTGTTGAACTTTGGAGTTGAAAACTAAAGGGTGCAAGGATGACGACGACGATGACGATGAAAAAGAAGCAAACGAAGAACCCAGAAAAAAGATGAACACAAGGAATGACAAGTTGAGAACAACACAATAAGTGCTTGAGGATCCCATTTGAAAATCAAAGTGGAATTTTGTGATTATTTTCTAAGGCAAAGAAACAAGGTTTATATATGGAGAGATGCTTCTTCTTCTTGCCTTGGTGGTCATGGCGCAGCGCTGTCCTTCTGATTTTCTTCCTTATTTATTGGTTTCCCATTTGAGTACGCATGAGTTCAACTTGGAAACTTGGCTTCATATCAGAGTTTAGGGTTTGACAAGAACGTGGCTTTTTGTTTCCATTGTACATATCTTTTGAACAGAAATAGACAGGTCATAGGTGTGTACGCGGGCGAACATTACGTTTTAAAACTGTTGTTTCTTCACGCAACGTTGTTTGGTTATGTTGATACCACGCAGGTGCGGCTGGGCCGGTAACAACCAATTGCGGCTTTAATTTTGTTTGTTTTTTGGTTGGTCTCTCGTTTTTGTGCGAAAGCACAACGCTATTTTCAGTCTACCCATATTATACATGTGCATATTTATTAGGGGTGGAATTTGGACCGCAAAAACCCACCACTTGACATAGTTGGTTTTGTCTAGGGGTGGGCATAGGTTGAGTTGGTTCGATTTTGGTCCCAATCCGATATATAGCGGTTTATGATTTTTTAAATTTAGACTCGCATAATTAGGCCAACTCAACCCAACTCGACCCTCTAATGATCGGATTGGACGATTCAATCGAGTTGACCT